TGTACATGGCTGGCGCCTTAGCCGGTTGAGCCACAGGTGCTGAGCCAAACTAAGGTTTTTCAGTTTTATCTTTAAAATTATTATACAGTACAACCAACTTTTTTGGATGTATATTTCCATGAATTCTAATACATGTTTAGGTTTCTGTAACTACCAATGTAATCAAGTTGTAAAACCTACCCTCTAAACTCCTTCATGCTGTAATTACTGATCTCTTCTTCCTCATTGCACTTTTGTCTTTTTGAGACTGTTATGTAAATGATATTTTACCGTAGATTGACTTTTTTTTTGAGACAGAGTCTTACTATGTCACCCTCAGAAGTATGCCATGGTGTCACAGCTCACAGCAACCTCAAACTCTTGGGTTCAAGCGATTCTCTTGCCTCAGGCTCCCGAATAACTGGGCCTACAGGCATCCACCACAATGCCTGGCGATTTTTTTTTTTGTTGTTGTTGTAGTTGGCAGGCCAGGGCCGGGTTCAAACCTACAACCCCATGTATGTGGCCGGCGCCCTAACCACTGTAGACACTGAGCTAGTAAGCTGACTTTTTTCACTCAACATAATGCCTTTGAGTTACATCCAAGTCGTGTGTATTGGTAGTTTGTTCCTTATTATTTCTGAGTAGTAGTCTACTTTATAGATGTACCAGTTTCCTTTTCCACTCACCCATTCGAAGACATTTAGGTTTTTCCAGGTTTTGGGAATTATTAATAAAACTGCTATAAACATTTGTGTACAGTTTTTTTGTGTGTAAATGTAGGTTTTTTCTCTTTTTTTTTCAGAGATAGGGTCTCACTCTGTTGCCTAGGATAGACTGGCAGGGCATCAGTCTAGCTCACATTAACCTCAAACTTTTGGATTCAAGTAATTCTCCTGCTTCAGCTTCCCAAGTAATTGGAACTACAGGCGTTTGTCATAATGCCTGGATAATTTTTCTATTTTTAGTAGAGACAAGGTCTTGCTTTGGTGCTGGCTGGTCTCAAACTCCTGAGCTCAGCCTCTCAGACTGTTACGATTACAGGCATGAGCCATCATGCTGGGCGAAGTTTTGTTTTCTTACAGTAAATACCCAGGAGTAGGGGTGCTGGGATAGAGGGTAGGTGTATATTTAACTTTTATAATCTGCCAAACTGTCTTTCAGATTGCCTGTACTGTTTTGCATTGCCCCCAACAGTACATGAGAATTCTAATCACTCTGATCCTTGCCAGCATTTGGTATTGTCGCTGTTTTTCATTTTAGCCATTCTAGGTGTGTAGTGACATCTTCTCGTGGTTTTAATTTTTGTTTCTCTAGTTGCTAGTGGTGTTGAACATTTTGTTATGTGCTTTTTCCTTCTTTTCTTTCTCTCTCTTTTTTTTTTTGAGA